TGGCCATAAGAAGGTCTTCCCTTTCTCTCATCAACACCGGAAGTAATCAACTCACAACACAGTCTGTATTACCTTCTTACACTTCCAAATTTTGAGGACTCCAACAACCACTGACAGATTTTCTCTTTTCAATTACTTTAACTGAAGAAAACCAAAAGACAAAAAGCAAATATTGCCTTAACCAAGTTTCCCCTCACATTGGCACTCATGTTTACTGATACTTCACTTTCCATTCTTCTGTAATGTACCTCGTGCTTCCATTAACGCTGATTTTCCAAACCAAAGAATTAAACAAGGTACTAGTAGAACACAATTTCTCATTTCAAGCAAGCAAGCCAAATAAGATTTGATTTTTTCATAGCATACATATGTTTTAGTCCTCTTCCACAATGACAAAAGAAGAGGATTTCCAGCAAAACTCACAGTTGGGATATATTTCCTGGCATTTATAGGAAATGTCACAAATTATTTTTGAGTGTTCATGCCCCCAGGAAATATTTGTCCATTAATGCAAACTTTTTTTTTTTTTAGTCAGTCATCTCATGGTCAGAAGATCCTGAAGATCCTGTCTTAAGAGGTACAGAGTCTATCTAAAATAAGGCAGCTTAAAAACTACAAATATGGCTATTCCTCATGTAAGCCATGGAAAAATTGCCACTATTCACAGCATCTCTTCCTGATAGCATGCATCCTGATTACATGCAGTTCTCTTATTCATCCTAGTCTGAATTATTACATGAATTAATGTAAATATTTTTATATGCATACATATACAACTTTTGTTAAAATTTATTTTAAAATTTGTCAGATTAACGGAATGATAAAACACTATCCACAGTTATTTTATGATTATTATTCTCTTTTTGGACAGCACACAATGAGCTGCTTTATGTAGATATAGAGAAAAATCAATTGACAAGCATAAAGTGCAGTTCACATTAAAAAAACTAACTAATTATGATAAGTTGCTACGTAAATTGCTTTGTGACTTTCCCAGCAATCAATTTCAAACTCTAAATAAGCCTCTGGCTTGAAAACACAATGAGTACCTAACAACTGTGTCAATATTAACAACAGAGAAGATTGCAATGATAATATAAACAGGATAATTATCTTTCTGGAAGTAAGTTTTTATGCTAACCAATTTCCTTTTCTTTTTATGCCTGTGATTTAAAGATAGAACAGCTTTTCAGAATGCAAGGATATTAAGTTGAAGGCCTTCAAAAATATGGACTTAGTTTATTAATATTTATTATTAAAATACATACATCATTTTTATAATTTAACTTGAAAATCTGAAGCATCATTAAAAAAATTTAGACCTCATCTTTGAAGGACAAATATATGTGATTAGTTTAGATGAACTAGAGAATATATTTGTTTAAAATCTGATCATGCAGAGAAAACACTGGTAGAACAGGTAAAGCCCTGGAGGACAGTTTGGAACTTTCACACTTCGCATGAACAATTACTCCTTCTGTTTCTCCAAAATTTCTACCTTCCTATCTTCATCACCATTCACTAAAAGTGGTAGGTCTCTTTAGATGCCTATTGGATTGTAACTTCCAGGAAATCTGGATCACATGATGCTCATTATGCATTTGAAAAAAGTACACTTCTGTCTTGGCCCAGCACATAACTCTTACAAAGCTAGTGACTGGATTGTGTGTATGGCATACCGTAAAAATCAGCCAGAAAGCATTCTGTATAGCCAAACCATCACTAAAAATTGAATAACTCAAATCCACTGTGTACAATAGCAAAGCAAACAAACAAACAAAAGAAACTGGAGTGCCAAGTTCAGGAGTCTCTAGAATAGATTGCACGCCTACATGCTATTGCTTGTCCATGAACGCTAAAGTTTCAAAAAGTCTTCATTCCATAACAATTCTTCACCGCACTCATCAGAAGAAAAGAGAAACTGAGAGCAGGAAGATACCTTTTCTTTTCCTTTCATTTTTTCTCAAAACAAAACAAAACAAAAAAACAACCACCCCTGTTTTATAAGATTACCTTCAGAAGGCTAATAGGAAATATTCCATCCCTGAATTCTTAGGCACTGCTTCTGAATGCAGTTTCAGACTTTCAGTCTGAAATTGGACCATTTGAGAAAGTAAGAACATGTTTCGTTGAGGTGATTTGAACATATTCTTAGAGTAAATAACTTTTTTTTTTTTCCATATCGGTACACATAATTCCAAGTGAGAAAATAAAAGAGAAAAGGTAATTTCTGTGCATATTGGAATGCTTAGATAATTAACCAAGTATTTAAAAAAATAGGACAGTGGATTTGTTCAGGAAGTTCTTAAGAGCCAAAATAGACTGCAACTATTAAAACTTGGCATAAATCCAATCCAAGGCTGTAAAAACTACATACATAAATACAGGCTTAGCTCTTAATGGAGACTGCTTCTTCTTCCTTCTACCAGTAACCCACGGGGCAGACTTACCACTAGTTGTTCCCAGAAGCAAGATCTCAGAAAATAAGACCATTTGTAAAATGTTACTGGGAACCAAATACCTTTGGCAAACGAATGGGTTTTCAAGTAAATCAGGTTCTAGACAATGTTATATGAAGCCTTCTAGACAATGTTATAAAATATTGTTTGCACAAAGCGCATTCAGCACAATTTTTCATTATTTTTATTATTTCATAATTTTACTTCTCAAGAGGTAACACAATAAATTACTATTTTCGCCAGCAAATGGAAAGCACTGGGAAGGGAACTTGAGTCTGAATGCTTGAATGTAACAAAGAAACTTCCTTACCATAGCAATTATGTAAAATGAATATACAACATAGCTTAGGGGAAGAGAAAAGCAGCATTTTTCTGCATGTTAAGAATGTAATCCTCAAAATTGTAATGCTACAATTTTATTTTCCATCAATTGTAACTATATTAAGTATTTTAAAGCATTATTTGAAGATTTAGTAAATACTCAATACATTGATGTTGATGAGAGTACCAGGGACATACAAACCAAAAACGACAAAAATTTCTACAACAAAAAGAAATGGTTTTCCTTTTAGACAATTTGTTAGATCATTTGGACAAGTAAGAAGAAAAGCGAGGCCCATTTTATTTTCGTTCATTAGTAAATTTCAAAACTAGTATAACAGAAATCATTTAATTCTTTTTTTTTTTTTTTTTTTTTTTTTTTTAAGGGAGCATGGGGAGGTGTTTATAAATTTACCTTTTTTTTTTAATCTGGGTAAGATAAATGTACAAATTTCACACAACTACATCACTAATGTCTAAAATCAAATAAAAATAAATATTGCATTAAATATAAAATACTAATTTAAAAATGGCCCCTAGAAGTTTGCCATCATTATTTTGAAAATAAAAATAAAGCTAGCTGTAAAATTACTACTTTGGAAGACTTGCCGAGAAGGACATTAATTAGGTCTCATAAAGAATCAAGTCATATTGCTCTCAAGTGCCCAGAACATGCATAGACAGTCAATACATTTTCTTCTAGGAAACGTAAGTTGAATTGAGTAAATATTCAGCACATGGAAGATAAGGAGAACAATTTTTTCCACAATAGGGAGAAATTTTTTAAGGCGTACAAATTCAATATTTGTTGCTTTCTTCATGTACTGAGACACTCAAGCATCATAACATTTGATGCAATACTTATAGCGATTATTCCCTGACATTATTCCAACACCAATATAGCATTATCGTATGCCGTTTCTGTGGGTTCTGACAGTGAGAAAGAGATTTTTTAAAATTCCTGAATTTTATTTGTTAAAACTGTCAACTCCAAATGTCCAGAATCCATCTGGAAATAACATGCTGAATATATGAATACAGAAGGTTTAAGTTGCATGCTGCAACACAACCAGAACATGATTTTGTTCCCCTAGCAAAATTCACAGTAACATATAGTTAACATATAGAAAATTGTCCAAGTAAAACTCTGCCATTCAGATACATTCAGTTTGTTTCTGATCTCCCTCCGAAACCCCCAAAATCAATTCACATCTGTACCAAACCATTTGCCAGCCTTTCAGATTTTGGTAAACAAGTTTCTCTGGGGACAAATAAGAGCACATACAAACATACAGCATGCTTCTTTTCATTTTGGGTCAAAAATAGCCAATACTTAACATGTGCAGCAACTGATTCAATCACTTTTTATAACACTGAAAGCAGTTGAAGAAAAAAAAAAAAAAAAAAAATCAAAGGTATTCAGAACACAACCTAAAATAGCAGTTAAGTATTTCACTTTTTCTTAGATATTTTTCTATTGACTCCAATTTGAAAAACACTTGAAATATTAAAGTCTCCATGAAATCAAATGTGCAATGTGGAAAACGCTGAGTTTTGCTGCTCTGATTTCAAGCTATATACATTTCTTCTTTTTCAGAACAAACGTGAATGTGCTCTTCCTGACTGCTCCAGTTTTTAACCAGCTCCCTGAACTTTCTGCTCCATAGGTATGCAGAAGGAATTCAAGAGTTTGTCCAAGGTGCTTTTTAAGCTCTAATTATTGGTGAAAAAGGAAATTGAACACTGATCTGCCCTTATTGCTTAAAAACAGAGAAGAATGAATCCCATTTTATTGCAATGAAAACATGTTAACATTTCAAAATTATAGCCCCGAATTGTTAAAATGCCAAAAAGCTGTCTCTTTACAAATATTAGAAACTTTACAAATTCTTTCAAAATTACCAACTCTGTATGTCATCATCTACTTAGTGATATGTAAGTACTTCAACCTCTTGATGTTTTTTATGTTTTTTCTCACACACACAAAAAAAACACTGAGTGTTATTATCTATAGATTTGTTTTCCCAGTAGACTACCTTTAACTCCTCTTTAATGAGTTAAAAATCTCTAATCTTGACATGTATGGTTTTCTCATGTATTACAGAGAACACAGTGCCTTTCAAGTAAAGTACCAATACAGCACTAACTAACACATAGAGGGCCTCACTGTGAAGTTTACCACCTTGCAGGAATCCGTGCCAATAAAAGCTTAGCTTTTACCTCTGTGATTGGTGAGGTCTCTGGATCCTGAAGGTAGAGGTGTATAGCTCATCTCTGGAGAGATAGAAGCAGCATCGCTGGAGGCCTGTGTGATAAAACAAATACTATCAGTGTTTCGAGCAAAGGTCATTGAGTAAACAGAGACAATGCACCTGTAAATGAGTATTCTGATGTGCATACAGGTGCACAAAATCACCAATCATGGAAGACTACTGAGAACTGAAAGAAAATTTAATTTGTTTTCATTAAAACCGCTTTCAATCTTGCAAGGAAGCTGCACTCAGAAGTGTGCACTATTATATTAAATTTCATTGCTAGAAAATATTGCCATACAGTTCACAGCTTTAAAGAATTACCAACTTAACCAGGAGAACTTTGGAATGCATTAAACACATTCCTTTTAGTGAAATAGAAAAATATTTACCTGAAGGAATTTACATGTCCACAAGAAATTAGAAAATAGAAAGCTGGGATAAGATGCTATACTTTTTAAAACAAAGAAAAAAACAGATTTCAAAATTCCACTGTACTGTAAGCTAAGCAATTGGATCTCTTAAGAATGATGCATATAATGTTCAAAAGTTGTTCAACTATCTACATTAATAATGAAGAGTTAAAACCCACGTCAGATTTCTAAAACTTTTAAAGTATCAGGAAGACTTACTGAGAATCCTTAAAAGAAAATGTTAAGAAAGAAGAAAGGAAACTCATTTTTTTCCCCATAATAAAGAAAAATTTCAAGATCCTATGATTCTGAATTGAAAACATTAAACCACAGAGTTATTGTTTTCTGTAAACCAGTCTTAATCTGGTTGAAGAACATTTTGTCTGAAGGAAAGAGCTACATAAAGCCAAGGAAAGCCATGTTTACCATCTTGCTTTTTAGTTATTGAGCTGTGGGATCTCATGATATGAAAATAACGGATCTTGTTGGTGAATAGGAATCATCATTATAGAGTTTTAAGAATTTACTTTGAGTTGTATAGATAGCATGGTAGTGTCATGCCCAGTTTCAGTCAGAAACAATAGTGTCTACTAAAAGTTGTATGATAATTTCTGATAGAAAAGATAAAGGAAATAGAGAGAAAAAAAAACACACACAAAAACTAAAGTCCTGAATTTCATAATGATTTTTAAGAAAAATTTTAAAATAGTTATTTTCTATTCCTGTTATTCCCATATGATATTTTGGCTTACAAATTGCAAAGTCACATAATTTCTTATTATTTTTAATTAATCATATATATGAAGATTTACAGATTTACAGAGGCTAGTTAAGATGAAAGCATAAGATAGAGCTAAAATGTCTTTGGAAAAAAAAAAAAAGCTTATAACCAAACAAAACTTGAGAATAACACGCAGAAATCCACAACAATGAAAATCTCCAATATTTTGTTAAAGAACTTAGAAATCTCTGTTATAACTGTACAGATTGTAGTACATTAAGATGTGCAAGGGTAAATGACCGAGTAGATTAGTATACTAAGCTTTTGTTTTCAAAGGACAGCTTTGAATTTTATACAGGTTTGTCAGACCATACAGTCCCATTTTAGTCCTTAGCAAAAATCAGGACATAATAGGAAAACACATTATGTGTTAAAACAGACAGGTTTGCCAAAACAGCAGTGATGCTATATATGAGGTATGAAGAGTGCTCTACAAAATCCTCTGTTCACTTTCTTACCAGTGACTGTGCATCCTCCTTTTCAGTGAGTTAATACTGTAAATACAACTTTGAGACAAAGTGAATAATCTCTTGATCTTAGTGAACAGTAAACTTGCAGCCCTACCTACACTGAACAAACAAGGGATTGGAGATCTTATCTCTGACGACCAATATGATCTGAGGATATCTAATACCTCACAGGATAAGATGGATGCCTCTAACATCCAGCAATATGACATCTGAAATAAGTTCCAGGAGCAGGTATGTGTTCACAGCTATCTGTTTTCTTTTGGTCTGGAAATTCTGGGTAAGACAAGAATAAAAATGTCACTACCTATTTAACATAAGACTTCATCCCTGTAAATCATTTCAAAAACTGGAGGAATAAGTGGTCACATACTGTACACCCTAGATGTTATCTGCCTATTCAAGTGTGCTTAGCTAGGACTTTGATAATAGTGAAGGTTTCTCTTTGATACTTTTAATCTCAATTTAGACTGTTGACAGCTTGATGATAGCTTTTCCTAAAATTACTGGAAGACACTTTGCCTTTTCAGCAATAAACCACTGACTGAGCAAAATTCAAGAGCTTCTAAAAAGCGAATTGGAGTGAAGGGGCAATTTAGCTTTATTTCAAATTTTAAGAAAAGCAAGAATGGAAAGGTTTGTTTATTGGTGTTTTGCTGCAATTTTACATACAGTATATAATTCCCTGTCAAATATGGAACAGTTTCATTACCTTTGAGCTAAATATTCAGTTAGAGCAACTTTAATTCTATGGAATATCATCCAGGGTTAGGATTGTTTTGTACAAACATTGTCTGGAACTCTGAATCACATTTCTGATTAAACCTGTGCACCAGCAGAATGACAATTTGTTTTCCCTACTGCAGGATGACATTTGGCCCAAAATATTTTCCAAACAGATTTGTATAGATTACATTACTCTTGATATTCACAAGAATATTTTGACAGTGATTGAACTGGCATGGGACAGTTGTGTCTTCTAGTATTGGTGACATATGCATCAGAAGTTCATGTTGCAATGCAGAAGGTAATTACAAAAAGCTGGTTAAAATAAGAAGTAGTTTCAGTGTTATATGTACAGGTCACCAAGTAGCTTAGTGAATAAATTCTGAAAGTGTTATTACTAGAAGCATTTATTTCTGCAAGCATTCTAGCCATCCAAATGTTGTAGTATATCGTAGTACAAAGCATAGAAGTTACAAGGCCAATAAAATTACTCGCAGCCTTAGTTATGCATATAGCCAAACATTTGCTAAAGTGAAGTGTCTATCTGTCTTAACATTAGCCTGTAGATTTAGTAGGAATTAGGAAATTATACATTCTCTTGAAGAATAAGATATAGCTTGATATTATGCTATATTGTCTATAATGGAATATCCTCAACACTTGTTAATAGTTTATATTCTTCTATTTTTGTCACATAACATAACTTGTATTTGGATCCAGATATTTCTCTAGTAATATTTCTCCTTGATATGTGAGAGATCATTGTTATTTCTATGACACGTGACAATTCTTTACACACCTATACATAGCAGTAACAGTAGTAGTCATCAATATATTATTGTGACAAATTTTACAATACAGGGAAAATAGCAGCATTTTAGCAGCTTCCTGAGAAGAGTTTTACAGATATGCAAAACACTTATGGTAAGTGACATGGTAAGTAAAATTGTTTCAGTGAACACACATGGAGGGAGATTTCCTTAGCTAAATATATTTAATTCAAATACAAATCCACCAAGTGAAATTTTTGCTTACGATTACTAAATGCACCTATAGTCAAGGCTTAACTATATTTGAACTTGATTATTATAATTCTAGGAAATTATATAAAAGTTTGCATAATCTTCTGTTTAGTTTAAGGACTAATCCTGAATCGTGTGGGGACATGTATCTTACCCAGAAACACAATGGCAACAGCCTTCAGTAATTCCTATGTGGCTTAAAACTTTACCTAAGAGTATTTCTACCAATAGGACAGCAGCTTGTCAATTCACTTCCTAACATTGGCTACAGAAGCTCACATTTCCAGGCTTTCAGTGTATAAGACCATGTAGATTTGTTCTCAACTGAGATAAAACATATAGATATATTCCACAGACCTGCTCAGCATTATAAATATAAAAATAAATAAATAGATAAATAAAGTAGATATAACTAGAAACTCATTTATGGATGAAATATATTAATTTATGTACATTAATCATGTATTCACATGTGAGGAGACACATAGCCTGACTATTAACAGAAAAAAAATGTATTCATTGTGGGTTGAATTTATTACATGCTTGTAGAGAGTATCAAAACACTACTCCAGAGGGAATGTTTCTTCCCATAAATTTGCACAGCACCAAGCACAATGAGGCTTTAATTTCACTATGAGGTCTTTGAGAACCTCATGATAGCAGAAGATATTACAAAAAGCAACAGTATACCAAGTCTTTGAACACTCTGTTCTAGGAATGAAGAAATTTTTTTATAACGTATCTGCTTTTTCATGAACTCAGAAACCATACAAAAGAGTTGCTAGTTAAAAGAAAGAGACAAAGTTTGAAAAAAAGGGATAAAGAATGAAACTAGAAATTTAAGTAAAGGCAGACAACGAGAATACAGCGGGCTACAAAAGCAAAAAGTCTTGCTTTTCTTTCCCCTTTTGTGAATTAGGATGCAGGTTTCCAACAAGCCAGTGCTTCCGTAACCAATCACTATATGCTGCTACACTTAGAATTACAAACAATTGACATGGCACAATACACGGAGGAGTATACAGGAGACACAGTTTTCCCTGATGAAATGGGATTTCCCGGTTCCCCTGCTCCACAACCAAACACAGCTAACAACAGATTAGCACTTGCATCTACTAAACTTAAAGCATAAATTAAAGTCACTTTAATAAAGAAGAGGAAGAAGAGGGGAAGGAGGCATGGTTTTGCCACAGCTTGCCTGATCTCTATAAGCTTACTCAAGATGACCTCCTTCCTCTGTATAGAATCAGTAATTTACTTCAAAATCTGATTTTAGATACCAGATCATAGTACTGAAATAAAACAGGAGAACAGCAAACAAGTGTTGTGTGGAAGGAAAGGGTACTACTTTGTTAATCTAAATATCATGTTTTGATGAAGATCACAAAGATCTGAATGACTTTCATTTATTAGTAACCATTGAAAAAATAAAAATAAGTAATTTAGCCAGTTCTAATAAAGAAGACAAATACAATCTGACTACTGCAATCTAATACATCATTTTAATTTACTATTACAAATGCATCTCATTACAAAGATTTTTTCTTTTTTTGTGAGCTATAGAGAAAAAAGCTTTTTTCTTATCAACAATGAAGAAAATTCATAAGAAAAGAAGGGAATGAAAGGGCAGGTATAGGTAGGGTT